CGCCTAAAAATATTTTTTATTCTAAAATTTTTCAAATCCAGTATTATTTTATTATATAGAACACATTTAGGGTTTGTCAGCAGACATTTAAAAAAAAAGTTGTTTTTAGCACCATCCTAATAAATACATATAAAGTAAAACCTTTTTTTTTAAATTGTTTTATTACACCCAGTTTTTTTAACAGTAAGTTTAAAAAAACTGGTTGTAATAAAATGTACTTATGAAAATTAATTTTAATTTATTACCTATATATCAGGTTTTCCTGCTACTGGTAACAAGTAACCCAGTACAACCTGCTCCATGTCATGCTGCCTTGTAGGATACGCTTTTTTAGGCAAAGGCTAGGAGAAGTTAACTCTGAATTAAAACACCCCCTGCCTTGGGGCTCTTGGTTGAGTAAAGGCTAGAGATGGTGTCTCGATAAAAATACTCATCTTGGGCAGATGTTACATGCATCCAGCTGCTGTCTTGTAGAAGGCCTCCTAGGCAAAGACTTAAGGGGTAAACAGATTCTATCTGTTGACCAGCCTCGCACCCCTTCCTCATCTATTAGGCTGGCGCAGATGTATTTTTAATACATTGTTTCCAGTTTAGGATGTTGAACGCTGGATCTTCTCAATGACTCAATGCGTGGGTATTGCTTGTGTCTCTATTTTTATGACTGGGCAACTCATTCTATTATCTCCTAATGAGGGTACAGCTCTAAAACTCAGTTTTATGGTTCTGAGGCCGGCTGGTAGTCAGATTTCCCGAACTCTGTGGTAGCTCTCAGAGAGGCTGATTCCATCAACAGCCGAAAAATATCAGAGTACTAACAGTGCCATGTTGCGTATGGATGGTGTCCCTGTTTGTACATTTGGTGTGCATTGCAGAGGCCACAATTGGAGCGCTTTGTTACGGCTTAGGGTTTATTAATAGTAATGAGGCTATTGCTTAGTTGTTAAATAGTGTACTGAGTACTATCTATACTTGAGTCAAGTTCTTTATAAATTTAAAATGACTAAAGTACCTAAAATTAAAAAACACAAAAAACCATCGTCATCAACAAGTTCTCTAAACCTATCATTTACTAATATTCGTGGTCTTCGAAGTAACTTTTCTTCTGTTGAGTCTTATCTCTTGCAAAGTTCACCAGACCTACTTGCTCTTTGTGAGACTAATTTGAGTTCGGCTGTCCCATCTTGTGATCTTAGTGTTGATGGTTATCTTCCTTTAATTCGTAAAGACTCCAATAATCACATGCTTGGCCTGGGCTTCTACATTCGCAAGAACTCATCCATTTGTCGTGAAACTAGGTTTGAATCTACAGACTATTCATTTATGTGCTTTCGTTTAGCACAACTTCACTCTATCGCCTTTCTCTTTGTTCTATATCGCTCTCCTTCATCCCAAGATTGCACTATTCTTGATGTTATTTCTGATCAAATTGACCAAGCCCTCTCTCTTTATCCATCGGCCAATATCGTCGTTGTTGGTGACTTTAATGCCCATCACACTGATTGGCTTGGCTCTAGTGTCAGTGACTCTGCTGGCGTTAAGACCCTCAACTTTTGCCTTTCTCAATCTCTAACTCAAATAGTCAACTTTCCAACTCGTTTTCCAGACAACCCTAATCATTTACCTTCTCTACTCGACTTATGTCTTGTTTTGGATCCTAGTCAGTGCTCAATTTCTCCACATTCACCCTTAGGTACATCTGATCACGGTTTGATCTCTCTAAAACTATTATCAAATTCTTCTACTTCATCAGAATCCCCCTATCATCGTACCACATACAACTACCTTAAAGCTGACTGGGACTCTTTCCGTGATTTTCTTCGTGATGGCCCTTGGGTAGAATTCTTTCGTCTTCCTGCTGACAAATGTGCTTCTTACATAACTTCGTGGATTCAGGCTGGCATGGAATCTTTTATTCCCTCTCGACGATTCCAGGTCAAGCCTCACTCTTCTCCTTGGTTTTCCTCACATTGCGCTGCAGCAATTTCTAATCGAAACCGTTACTTCCATATCTATCAGCAAAACAATTCTCCAGAAAACAGACATCTGTTCACTATCGCCAGAAACCATTGTAAAAAGGTTTTGTCTGACGCCAAAGCTCGCTATTCCCAGGTCATTAAATCTCGTATCTCATCACAAAAATTAGGCTCTCGAGACTTCTGGAGAATCTTTAACAGTATCAATAATAAGGGCAAATCTGTTATTCCTTCTCTCTTGTATGGTTCAGACTTTGTCACCTCACCTCAAGACAAAGCTGAATTGTTTGCTAAGAACTTTTCATCAATATCATCTCTTGATTCCACTAGTTGCGTTTTACCTGACATAGCCGTCAAACAGGTTGATCCCTTGCTTGACATTCGCATCACTTCAGCTTCTGTATCTAAAGTAATTTCCTGCTTAGACTCTTCAACAGCTTGTGGTCCTGACAACATTCCTGTTGTAGTCTTGCAGAGGTGTTCTCCGGAGCTTTCATCCATACTTTCTAAACTATTTAACAAGTGCTTATCAGAGTCTTGTTTTCCATCATGCTGGAAAGCAGCATCTGAAATCCCTATTTTCAAAAATTCCGGAGAGCGATCTGATTCATCTAACTACCGTCCCATTAGTCTTCTTCCTGTCATAAGCAAGGTTTTTGAATCTTTAATCAACAAACACTTAATCTCTCATCTTGAATCAAATAACTTACTTTCTGATCATCAATATGGATTTCGGTCTTCTCGTTCTACAGCTGATGTGCTAACAGTAATAACCGATAGGTTTTACCGTGCATTAGATAGAGGTGGAGAGGTTAAGGCTATCGCACTTGACATTTCTAAAGCTTTTGATAAAGTTTGGCATGCTGGTCTTCTCCATAAGCTTTCTTCTTATGGTGTAGCTGGTAACGTCTTTAAGATTATTGAGTCCTTTCTTTCCAATCGTAGTATAAAAGTTGTCCTCGATGGACAACACTCTTCTTCACATCCTGTAACTTCAGGGGTTCCTCAAGGAACCCCTGAAGTTACAGGGGTTCCTTGAGGAACCCCTGTAACTTCAATCCTTGGCCCTATACCCTTTTTCAATCCTTGGCCCTATACCCTTTTTAATTTACATTAACGATCTTCCAGATATTCTCACATCTAAGGTGGCATTATTCGCTGACGACACTACCATTTACTCTTGTCATGATAAGAAGCCTACACTCTCTGATTGCTTGGAGGGGGTATCTGAGCTTGAAAAGGATCTCACTTCTGCTACAGCATGGGGCTCACAGTGGCTGGTGAACTTTAATTCAGATAAAACTCAATTTTATTCGGCCAATCGTTATTGTAATAATTTAGATCTTCCTAAATTTATGAATGGTAATGTACTAGAAGAGTCATCTACCATTCATCTTCTAGGATTAACTCTTACTTCTGACCTTTCTTTTAAACCGTATATCAAATCCATTGCAAAATTAGCATCTGCTAAGGTTGCATCTCTTTATCGAGCTCGACACTTTCTTACTCCAGATTCTATTCTCTATCTCTATAAATCTCAAATCCGTCCCTGTATGGAATACTGTTGCCACATCTGGGGCAGATCTTCTAATGATGCTCTTTCTCTTTTAGACAAGGTGCAAAAACGAATTGTAAACATAGTTGGACCTGCTCTGGCAGCCAATCTCCAAACTTTGTCACATCGTCGTAATGTTTCTTCTCTTTCTCTTTTCTACAAATACTATAATGGGCACTGCTCTAAAGAGCTAGCGTCCCTTGTGCCATCTGCTAAAATTCATTCTCGTGTTACTCGCCATTCAATTAAGTCTCATCCTTTTTCTGTGACTGTTCCTAAGTGCTTCAAAAACTCTTATTCTTCTAGTTTTTTTCCTCGAACATCAGTTCTTTGGAATTCGTTTCCTTCATCTTGCTTTCCTGATTCATATAATTTGCAATCTTTTAAGTCATCAGTCAATCGTTATCTTGCTCTACAGATTTAGTCTTTTCTCTTCCAGTAACTTCCAACTCTTATAGTGGTTGCTTGCAGCCTTGTTGGAAGTGAAAATGTTAATAAAAAAAACACAAAAAAAAAACAACATATATATATATATATATATATCAGGGGCTATTCTAGACCGTTTTAGACAGCGTGGACCATATTTAGACGCTGATTTGGGCGCTGCCCAAATTAAAATTTGATAATTTTTTTTTATACATTTTTTTGCAAAAAAAACACAGATTTTCTGCTAAAGTCTGCCGAAATGAGGGGGTACCAAACTACCCAAATTTATTTCCTAGAATAGGCCCTATAATATTAATGCTATAATACTTTCTCAAATAAGCTGAAAAATTTACTATATGTGCTTTATATTATTTTGATTCAAAATCGTAAAATTAACAGTTAAATAAATTTCTTTCTTTTTTTGAAAAGGGTTTCGTGCAAAAGAACTTTGATTTTTTGTGATTTAAAATATTATTACACCCTCAAACCATTACATTTTTTTCTCTATGTTTAACAGTAAGTAACTAATATTTTTGTCAAAAATAATTAACCAATAATTAACTAAGAAATAATAAGATAATCTTTTACAAATTTTATTTTGGCTTTTAAATTTTTTGTATATATCAATGGTTCTTTAATTGGGCAGCAGCTATACAGATTATTTTGGTGTACTCAACGCTTATTTGTATCTTAGTTGAAACTTATAAATAATTGAATAAGCCTTAAAGACAATCTTTCAAAGATTATTTTTGGAATACCTTACTGTCTATCAACTTTTTCAGTTGTGACTTTTGATCTTCTAAAGCAAGGATTGCTTTCAACAATCCTATCCTAAAAACTTTGGTCAACTGTTTGCTTGCTCTATAACTCTATCTTTTATTTCTAGTAACTCCCAACTTAATATTGGTTGCTTTCTTTTTTTTATTGTCGCAGCTTTTAAAATTAATTTCTTTATTTCATTTGAAATTTCCTATAATTTTACTAAGTATTTGAATTATAAAACTTTTTTGAACTGAAATAATATAAAGCACATTTAGTAAAAGCTTACTTGAGTAAGTTTGTGAAAAGTAAAGTATCAAAAATTAAAAAAATTGGTTTTTCTATTTTTGGAACGCTACTGTATGTGTGCGTATATATCAGGGACTATTCTAGACCATTTTTGACAACACTGAATGTATTTGGGCGCCACCTAAATTAAGAAATTGAGGACCTTTTATATATATATATATATATATATATATATATATATATATATATATATATATATATATATATATATATATATATATATATATATATATATATATATATATATATATATATAGGTAAATAGGCAGACAGAGAGAGAGAGAGTAATATAATAATAGAATAATTAGAATGTATTTATTAATAAAGTTGTTACAATAAAGTATGTATTAAAAAATTTAATTACCATATACAATGACTCCTGATAAACTTTTTTTTTTTTAAAAAAGGTATAATTTTTAAAAACTTACATTTGTTGGTTTGATCAGTTTTTGACAAAAAGCACACCTTGGTGAGAACTTTCTAAATAAAACCATGTTTTATTTTGAGCATTAATTTAAACCATATAAAAATTAAATTTTTTTTTAAAGATTTAAAAATATATATACGTTTAAAAATTTAAAGTTAAATAAATTACAGCTGATAACATTCAACACAGTGTATAGCATTGGCAGCATCCAATGTGAATGGTATGCTGTCTAAATTCTTATTACAGCTGGAGCAAGTAAAACAGCTAGGGTGATAGCATGACCCTACTGCACGTAGAATTCTCTCTGTAATTTTTTCTTTGCACACAACACAGTCTTCCAAAGTGTTCTAAATAAAAATAATGCAAAAAAATAAAAAAATAATTAAAAATTACTTATTGAATAAAAATTAGTTTATTACTTAAAAAAAAAAAAATTTGTTTTGGATTTTTGGCGAATCAGATATAAAGAATATATGATATGAAGGTTTTAGTGAAATCATAGAATGATCAGAAACAAGGAAGAAGGATAGAATATAGAAGGGAGAATAAAGTAAAACTGAGCACAGGCTCATAGATATGAATCAAGTAGTAAATTTAAGTGATTAGTGTTAGCAGAAAAAAAAATTCACTAAGTAAACTGAGTAAAAGATTAAAAAATACAAAATATTTGAGCATTAGAGCCATTCAGTTAGATGAACAAGTCACCAATAACTAAATAATTGGCTGAGAGATAAAGAGAAAAGGCTTGTTCAATTTGATCTAAAATAATATCAAAAGGAGAACAGACTTTAAAAGAAGGATAACAATAAAGAAAGAGAAAAAAAAGGTGTTTATGAAAATGACTTAATGAAAACTTATGAAAACTTACTGGGACAGAAAAATGTCCTTCCAAACCTTTTGTCCGCATAAGTATCTTTTTTTTTTATTTTTGTATAATTTGTTCCAGTAAGTGGAACAATAGGTATGTTTTTATTGTTGTGAATTTAAATGGACACTGTACTAACTTAATTATAGCGAACAAAAGAAGGAAACCCTAAGTTAATGTATGTACTGAAGCCACTGCAGATTTTTTATTTGAATAATATATCATCAATTTTTCATGCTGATCTCAATATGTAGTATAAAATAAATAATGATTTTGTGTGTGACTTTTTATATTTGAATGTAAGACTATTATTGCGTATTCATGTAAGAACAAATAAAAAAACGTTTATAACAACTCAGTGTAGTTAAGGCGATTTACAAAATTTTCGAATACTTTGGAATTGGCATGATTTTATCAGCGTATTGTGTCCAAACAAAAACTTTAGATGGTATTATTTTTTTTGCTAAAGATTTTTTTAATATTTAAAGAAACTTTTCTTTTTTATATATAATTTTCAAAACCTTTTTACTACCCTTAACAATGAATCTAAAGAACACTATTTTGGAGTCTTTAGGTCAATTCCGCTCATCGGCATTAAAATGAATTTAGTTTAAATCTTTTGAAAAAGTTCCTTAATTTACTACTGATCCTAGTTCTAATCGGTTCTGACAAATATTAACTATATATACGCCATCAAAACACAATATTTGTATCAATTTTCACAAAAAATACTAGAATTCCGACCAAGAAAGAGCTTATAATTTAGGAAAATTGCCAATAAACGATCAGAACAGATCATATTGTTAAACTATATCGTTCATTTCACCTAAAAAACGTATTAATTTATAACCTTGTTCAAATTTAGACAAGCAATTGTGACTTTAAGATAATTTTTTTTTTTTAAAAAGAATCTTCGGTCTGGGTTTAATCGCTACAAACATTTATAATTTATGATACCGCAAAATTTATAATTTTCATACTTTTCGTCTTTTCATAATTCACAGACCTGACCATTTAACGGAAATATGTCGTAGTCAACAAAATATCTTACAGATGCTATAATACTTTAAAAGTGCCTTAACTACACCGAGAAGTCAACAATTTCTAGAGAGATATACCTTGTAGCAGTCTTCACAATTTGGTTGATTATCCAAGCAATAAAATTCATGCCCAGTTAATTTTTTTTCTAAAATAAAATTTCAAGATTAAATATAAATTAGAATTAAAATTTTTTTAAAATACAATATACAAAGTCTTTATACATATATGTAATATATATATATATATATATATATATATATATATATATATATATATATATATATATATATATATATATATATATATATATATATATATATATATATATATATATATATATATATATATATATTTCGCAATTCCGCAAAAAACCAACCTTGTTTCTATGTTTTATGGAAAGACTTTTGTATCAAATATTTTTTGCTGATTTGATGCCAATCTTTAAAAGATTGAGGTCAGCAAATTATTGCCGACCCAATTTTTTCTAACTCGGAGGGTTGTATGTATTTATATTTTTGTATTTATATATATATATATATATATATATATATATATATATATATATATATATATATATATATATATATATATATATATATATATATATATATATATATATATATATATATATATATATATGGGCAATTCCGCGAGAGTGGCGGTCCCAACATTTGACATTATTTAAGCTATTAAAAAAGAACTAAAAATGAAAATGACTTGAAACTTCTCAGAAATGTGGAATTCTATTACATAATTTAGTATGCAAAAGTGACAGTATTGAAGTCTTATATTTTTTCAAAAATTAACTCTGCGTAGCGTGGCGGTTGTAACGTTTACTTTTTACCACTTTTGAATAAAACAGCTTTGTCAAACTAATTGCAGCGAACGGCATGGTAAAAAAAAAAAATCATTTGGTGTGTGTATTTAGCACATATTGATGTTATTTTATGTTGAGTTTTATAGATTTTACTTGTTGCTTTATAAGCATTCTATGTTTTTTTTGTCGCAACGGTCATAATGAAAAATCCAATTTTGAAAAACATAAAAACAACGCAGTCAAAAAAAAAAGATAAATAATCGACTCTTATCTTATGCCATGCCAAAAGTATTTTATGCTATGCCATAATCTTATGCATATATGCCATAATCTTATGATATCATAAAAACCATGTCAACTATGTAAAAATATAAACTTAATAACATTATCAAAGCTCTCAATTACAGTTGTTTGATTCTGGGTTTGTTAAATTTAAAATTGGTAACTGTAGGCAGGCTGCTTTATTTATTTATACTTTAATAATTTACTAAAGTTTAAATGGTAAATGCTCCCTGTTCCCAACATAAGTTTATAAAATAATTCTTTCAAAGTAAAAATATCGATTTCAAAATTGTTTTCAAGCTTTGGTTGCTAACTTTCACTTGATTTTTTAGCTTGTTTTTATTTCTTTTGTGTTCTTTGATAACTGTCTTCTTTAATAACTTCCCTTTTTTTTTTTCCAACAATGCTTTTCTGTTTCTTGCTCTATAAGCTTTTGCTCTTTCAGCATCTGATTCAACATCAGCATTTAAAAAATGTTATTAAATTCAACTTTTGAGATTAATGTTCTGTTATGATTTAAAAAAAACCCGCGAAATTTGTAATTAAAAAACCGCGAAATCGAATAAACAAAAACATTGCAACGCGAACTATAAAAAACATTTTAACGAAAAAAAATTTACTTTATGTTAAAATTTTTTATTATTATTATTTTTTATTATTTTAATTCACCTCCTCAAGGCCGAGAAGGCCACTACAGACGAGGAGGCTACTTATTTGTGGCTATAACCCTCTCTCAACTCTGTAACTCCGAAACACGAACCTTGACGAACAAGGCCGCTGCGCGGAGAAACGAGTTGAGCGCGGTACTACCAGGGACGTGGTGGGGATTGAACTCGGAACCACTCGTTTATGAAGCGAGCGCTCTACCACTACACCACTACCGCATTATTTCTCAACAAATATTAATCTATTTACATCAATTATTTTAAATAAGTGATTTATATTTTAAAAAAGAAATAATTTCTAATTTTAAATTATTCTAAATTTCGTTAACAATATTATGAGTAAACAAACTGCAAATGATTTTTAACTTAATTTCAATAATAAAATCATTAGCACTGAAACTTTTTATATTCTTATAAACTTTTTATATTCTTATAAACTTTTTATATTCTTAAATAGTTAAAAAAATAATTTATTGAGGTTAGCATATGTTTTCCTAACTTGTTTTTTTTTTCCTCTTTCTAGCGGAATAGCCCACACATACACACATATATTTATATATATACACACATAATTTATATATATATATATATATATATATATATATATATATATATATATATATATATATATATATATATATATAATTATGTATTCTAGCAGAATAGCCCACATATATATATATACATATATATATATATATACATATATATATATATATATATATATATATATATATATATATATATATATATATATATATATATATATATATATATATATATATATATATATATATATATATATATATAAAAGCATTCAAACATCATATACGGTATCTACTATTTATTTATTTTTCTTTAATAATATATTTATAATATATATATAAGATATTTCGGCTCATATAGTGAGAGCCATTATCAAACTAATAAAAACCGTTAACGATTTTTTAAATAAATAGTATAATACAGTATATGATATTTTAATGCTTATAATTGAACCTGTCATTTCGAAAAGGGCACAAGTCACACTTTTTTAAAATTTCACTTTTTAATGCAATTTTATTTATTCAAGTGTTTTACATATTCCCTTTGAAGGAGAAACATTTTCATATGCCACAAATCAACTTTAAATGCAAATGAAAAATTAAAGTCTGTTTGAAAATGGCACAAGTCCCGGACTTATGCCTTTTTCAAGTAAAACGAAGCGCAACTGTAGTGACGTAATTTCACTTTATTTGTAACAAAAATGGAAAATCGCGAACTTCCTGAAAATGCATATAGATTTAGAAAAAGAGTGCCTGGTATAAGAAACAGTGGAAATTATAAACACGAAAAAATAAAAAAAGCCAAAATTGCTGGAGAAGCTTATAAAAACCACAAAGGAAATGTTGTGGCACCAAGTCAAACGGGTGCTTCTTGCAGGTTAGTTTTTTGTTCTTTAGAGTATAACTATATTCGCTCTCAAATTTATGCTTATTTACTTATGTTTTACCACCAATAATTGGAGGTAAAACATCTTGATATATAATTATTATAATATTATCTCAAGCTATAATTATTATAATATTATCTCATGCATACAGCTTTTTACTGTATGCATGGCATATCTATGAAACAAGTTAGACATGCATTTTATTAAAAAAAAAAAAGCAGCCTATAGATTACAGAGGTAAATCTCAGTGATCACGATGCAACGCATTACCTGGAGATACATTAACAAAATTATGTGAGCATATCCAAACGAAGTATGTACCTTTGTGCTGAATTATAATTTAAAAAATATTGGCAGCAAAGCCAAAGAACTGCACCTATTTTCTGATGGTTGTGCAGGCCAAAACAGAAATCATGCCACGGCCCGAATACTTTTATCACTGGTAGCTGAACTAGATAGCAATATAAATGAGATACAATATTACATACCAAAAAGAGATCACTCATTATTGCCAAACGATAGAATGTTTGGAACAGCAAAGCGACATTCGAAAAATGATCGGATTTACACACCAACAGAGTATGAAAATCTTATAGATGAAGTAAGGGTAAAATTTTGAATCAGAAGGCCCAAAACTGAAGATATTATTGATGTAAAAAAATGGTGGCCAAACCATTATAGGAAACTTGTGCTATCTGTGGATTCTTATGGAAAAGGAGTACCCAAGGACAAAAAACTTATTTTTGGTATTTCTAAAATCTCACATTTCACATTCTCTAATACCACACCAGGTTTAGTGAAAACACGTGAATCCATGGATTGTTTAGTCAGTTATAATTTCCAGTCAACCTTACCATTAAGTAGTACTCCTGCATATGTTGGAAAATTGCCTATCAATGAAAAAATATATCAGATTTAAAAAAAATATGAAAAAATATATTCCATATTCAATAGAAGAGTACCAAAACTACTATGCAAAGGTTTTTGCTTCGCCAACAACTTCGGCAAACAATGAATTTCAAGAAATAAGTGATGATTACCAAACAATAATTGTTTTTATGTAGTAATAAATCATTATTATTCTGATAATCTTTGGTTTTTTATATACAAAAAAGCGTTCATTTCAAAAAAGACATAAGTCCATAAATTTAAATTAGAAATATATGTGTTATATATTATTTTTTTATAACATATAAAACTCTAAAAACTTATGTATGACTTTTATTTATCTACTCTTATCTTTAGTTTCTTTAGCACTATAGACTTTTTTTCTAATAAACTTATTTTTGTTGATCCTGAAAAGTTTGAATAAATAGACTTGTGCCCTTTTTGAAATGACGGGTTCAATTACACATACTATTAAAGATGTCACTTAAGTTATATATATATACATATATATATATATATATATATATATATATATATATATATATATATATATATATATATATATATATATATATATATATATATATATATATATATATATATATATATATATATATATATATATATATATATATATATATATATATATATATATATATATATATATATATATATTCATTTTTTGTCTATTAGTATTGGTCAAAAATGTGCACCAATTGCACATTTTTGACCAATACTAACAGACAAAAAATGGACGATACCAATGCCAATACTGAATAATAAACAGATTATAAGAATAATCAATAATATAAAACTAGATATTATAGGTCAGGATCAAGATCATCATGATCATCACCCAGCTACTGGTAACATGTAATCAAGTATGCTTTGTAGCTCTGACTTAAAATGCACCTTACCTTTGGGTTCTTGGTTGAGTTTAGGCTAGAGATGGTGTCTTACCTATCATAGCAGATGTTAACATACGGCTACAGGGGCAACTCTAGACTGTTTTCGACAGTGTCTACCGTATTTGGGTGCTGCCCTAATTAAAGTTTCAGGAC